TTGCACCGGCCGCCGGACCACGCTCCCTCGCAGCCCACCTAGCCAGCTACCCACTCGTACCGTAGCACTGTACCTCTACCTCCTTCCTCCCCTACCTACTACTTTACGACGCTCTTTGTCGCACCGCTCCCTGCCGCTGTCTGTTACCGGCCGGTCTTTCCTGAGCAACCACGACTGCACCCGCACCCGTCCGTCGCTGCTTCCCGCGACTACATAGTACTTCACTCTGCGTGTGTGCAACCACCGCCCGCGCCTGCTCTCCGAAACAGTCCACCCGGCCTCTTGTAGCTCGCTCCTGCCTGTGTCGCCCTTCGAGAAGCCGCTGCCGACCAGCCAACAAGCCCCCTCTCCACCACTCCTTCCGCCAGCTCGCCCGCCTGTGTGTTACCTTGGTACCGCTGTCCGCCCCCTGCCACCAGCCCCCGATGCTGCTGCTGTCGCCGCAACGATAATTTCATCCCCACGTTGTTGCTTCGACACTAGGTTCACGCGAACCTTGTGCCGATTATCGTCAAGCTGGCGCACCAATTCCAGTCTCAGTTGTGTTCTTGCGAGGCTTTTGACGAGCAGAGCAGAAAGACGGCCCGTCGCGTCTACAAGCAATTCTGGAGAAGCGTCATGGTCACACGGAAACCGGGTACCCAGGCTGCACTATCCATAAGAACATCCCCGACCTCCACCGCCTCGTCTCCCACCTCTTCGCTGGCCGATTTTGACGACATGGACGTCAAAATGGCCCTGAGCGACACCCAACCCGCCCCTCTTACCGTGTCCATACCCAAGAACATCCAGAGCCCACACTACCGAAAGCCAAACCTGTCAGAGATACTGGCCAACACCGCCCCTCCGCCCTACACGCTGACCTCGTTCATGGCATTCCTCTCGCAGAACCACTGCTTGGAGAATCTTGAATTCACAATGGATGCCTCACGTTACCGAAAACACTACTCCAAGATGGTCAACCGCCATCCAGGGAGCCCCATCTCGCCGCTGTCAGATGAATGCGCCTATGTCCTGATGCTGTGGCGTCGCCTAATTGACGCTTACATTCGCGAATCCGGTCCACGAGAGGTGAGTCTTGCTTGCGTTTGCCAATGCCTCGTCACGTTTACTAATCGTCACACAGGTCAACCTGCCTGCTGAAGTCCGCGACAATCTACTAAGCCTCTCTGATTCTTACGTTCCACCGCACCCATCCTCATTGGATGAGGCAGTGGCCAAGATCTATGAGCTCATGGAAGAAAGTGTTCTGGTATCTTTCCTCAACTCCGTCAGCCCTCAGAGCGCTCACCCGACTATGAGCGTGGCGAGCTACGACAGCATCTCACGATCGTCGACTCGCAGCTACGAGGAGCGAAGCCATGGTTCCCGCCACCAGCAACCCCAGTCGGCTTCGCACCAGCGAGCGTCCGCTCCCTCATCTCTTACCACTGGCTTCATGCAAGCCCGCCCCTTTTCACATTCAAGGTTCCACTCTCAGCCTACCTCTACCGGCCCGCCATTGGCGCCCCGCGTTACGTCGGGCTACACCAGTGGAAGTGATGCATTGACCGATGATACCGGCAGTACCGGCAGTCCATCGGGCATGAGCGATCCCCTGACTCCCCCTGGTACGCCGCCTATGAGCGACTACCCCATGGGCGATTTCCACCAGGTCTACCACGAAAATGGTAGCCCAAGTGGCACGCCCAGTCCACGCCACAGCCGTGGTGAGCATAATGGCATAGCCAGTGCGACCAGGGACAGCTGGAAACGAGTCAGTAGCAAGCTTTGGCCCAAGAAGAAGAGTGGTCAACTCCGAGAGGACGAACCCGGTGTTGTCGAGGGAGGACTGTTCTAGACCTTTGACGAGTACCCGGCAGACGTTCGTTACGTTCACACAATTTTCATCTCGAAAGCGGTCACGATTACGATTTTGCGACACCAGCGATTGGCATTTTGACCTTGCATCTTGGATATGTATTGGCGCCTCTTCTGGATTTTCTCCCATTCAGATTTTGCATGCGACGCGCACCCGGCGTATCTGACGAAGACAAACCCGGCGAGGTTTGCAACTTTCTGGCATATCGAAATTTAGACATTGAAGGCGTTTGCAAAACTTGATATATTTTTATGGGAGCGAAATTGATTACAGCATAGCGGGGTTCTAATCTAAGTTTGGCTTGA